AAAAAAAAAAAATAACATGAGTATACAAATAGAATTTTTAAAATGAAAAAAAAATTAGATGAAAATTCAAAAATTGATGTTACATGTTTGAGAGGTGAATCCTGTCCTCCTGAGACTGTGTTCTCAAGTATCCTTCCAACAAAGGTTTGGAATCTTTTTTGCACCCCGCTCTTAAGAAGAAAAGGCTGCCAATTATTCTGTAATTACTCAGAGATGCAGGGCAGAATCTACTTCACAGTGTTGTTGTTGTTGTTGTTGTAGATTAGAATCAGTGACAACAGTGGAAATGTCCAAACTCTGCACAGAACACTTGTGAGGAATGCAGTTTGTGTTTATGAGTCAAGATTAAAAATTCAAAAATTGATGTTACATGTTTGAGAGGTGAATCCTGTCCTCCTGAGACTGTGTTCTCAAGTATCCTTCCAACAATGGTTTGGAATCTTTTTTGCACCCCGCTCTTAAGAAGAAAAGGCTACCAATTACTCTGTAATTACTCAGAGATATAGGGCAGTGTTGTTGCTGTTGTAGATTAGGATCAGTGACAACAGTGGAAATGTCCAAACTCTGTGCAGAACACTTGTGAGGAAAACAAAGTTTGTGCTTATGAGTCAAGATTTCATACTGGGCTGATTCTGAAAGCTGTATTTTACCATCACCAAGGCCTAAATCCAACTCCTAGTCTCAATCTGAGTAGCCCCATTAAAAGAGTTGATGAATCTCTTGAGTCAGTACTTACAAAAATCCTATTTATTCAACAAGTCTACTCTAGTTGGAATTACCAAGTGACTCAGTCCCAAAAATTAACTTTCAAGCTGTGTCCACTTCCCTGTTTCTAAATTAACATGAATTTTTAAAATATTTTAAATTTTGCAAATAATAACAACTGATAATATATGTGCATGATCCTGATTATTACAAAAAGATGTTTAGAATCACTCCCAAGTACAGTAGGACTGATACCTGGATATGCACAAACATGGTTTTAGAAGCAGAAAGACTTTTACAATTAACTAGAAAAATGTATCCTGTAAAAAAATTAACTTTCAAGCTGTGTCCACTTCCCTGTTTCTAAATTAACATGAATGATTTTTAAAATATTTTAAAATTTGCAAATGATAACAACTGATAACACATGCGCATGATCCTGATTATTTCAGAATCACTCCCAAGTACAGTACAACTGATACCTGGATATGCACAAACACAGTTTTAGAAGCAGAAAGACTTTTACAATTAACTAGAAAAATGTATCCTGTAATAGTATAAGGTTTTTCTTGTCTCTCACCTTCCGCCCACTCACCTTTGAACCACCAGATGGCCAGGTTTAGGAACGTTGTCAGGATAACAATGTGAAGACAGGTAAAGGTAAAGGTTCCCCTTGACATTTAGTCCAATCGTGTCCGACTCTAGGGGCGCGGTGCTGATCTCTGTTTCCAAGCCATACAGCCAGAATTTTGTCCGAAGACAGTTTCCGTGGCCAACACGACTAGACATGGAACACTGTTACCTTCCCACTGTGGCGGTACCTACTTATTTATTTGCATTTGCATGCTTTTGAACTGCTAGGTTGGCAAGAGGTGGGACAAGCGACGGGAACTCACTCTGTCACGTGGATTTGATCTTGCGATTGATGGTCTTCTGGCCTTGTAGCACAGAGGCTTCTGCGGTTTAACCCGCAGAGCCACCACATCCCTTAATGTGAAGATAGTCAAACATAAAACCACCAGGGAGCCAGAGATTAACATTTCAGCCCAGGAAAGCAACATAATCCTATAAATAGATAAGGAAGATCGGATGCTCATTCCTCCAGACAGTGAGGCGTATCCCTGGGGCAGGTCAAAGGGGGAATTGGGGCATTTTACGTATATCCACAGACAACTGCTGGTCTTCTGACCTTGCAGCACAGAGGCTTCTGCAGTTTAACCTGCAGCGCCACCACATCCCTTAATGTGAAGATAGTCAAACATAAAACCAGTAGGGAGCCAGAGATTAAAATTAAGGCCCAGGAAGGCAACATAATCCTACAAATAGATAAGGAAGATGGAATGCTAATTCCTCCAGACAGTGAAGCATATCCCTGGGGCAGATCAAAGGGGGAATTGGGGCATTTTATATATATCCACATGGGACCAATAATGTTGTAATCCTTGGCATCATTGCCCAATTAGGTTTAGGATCCAAACTTTAGGATAATGCTGACCAACAGTATTGTAGAACTTTATGGCTCTTCGTTTCTTACGTTATGAAATATCTGTACACTGTATTTTCGGGGTCTTCTCCACTTTTAAGAGAAGTCCCAGCTGACTTTGTATTGCTTTCAATAAAAGTGGATTTTGGTTCAGCTGTTTGCGTCTTGCCTGATCCCTTGCCGGAGACCAAATTAGGAAATGGGGTTTGGCCTGGAACAGGACACCGTATCCGCAATATCAATGCCTGCAGTTTCACATGTCTGCTGCCTGAAAAAAACAAAAACAAAACCCAGAAATACACATTCCCCAAGGAGTATTATCAGAAATGGTCACTGGATGGAACCAGAGACTATGCTTCGTAAAGATGGCTTAAGGGAAATGCACTGGTGGCTCTTTGGTTCAGCTGTTTGCGTCTTGCCTGATCCCTTGCCGAAGACCAAATTAGGAAATGAGCTTTAGCCTGTAACAAGTCACCGTATCCGCAGTATCAGTGCCTGCAGTTTCACGTGTCTGCTGCCTGGAAAAAAAAAACAGAAATACACATTCCCCAAGGAGTATTATCAGAAATGGTCACTGGATGGAACCAGAGACTATGCTTCGTACAGATGGCTTAATGGAAATGCACTGGTGGCCTGACATCTCCAAGGAAAACAGCTTTGGTGGAATAGAGAAGCCACGTTTGGGGGATGGGCAGGGAGGAGGCAATGGTTGCTGGTTTCAGGTAAGCCTCCCTTGCAAACAGGATGATGGGAAACCCAGTCCTTTGGCAAGCCTGGGCAAGGGCTCCCTCTCTCAACCAAGCGCGAGCACCAAAGAAACTGGAACCTGTTTCACTTAACTGCTATTTCCAGTGTCCACAGCTGGGGGATTGGAACTGAATCCCCCATGGGGTTCTACTGTGGTATTCAAACTTCACCCAACAAAATGTCTTCCTGTTCTTCCCTCTTGTTACTTTACTTTCTTTTTCTCCTTGCTTTCTCTGTCCTGGTCACCTTTGAAATGCAGAGTCCCCAAAAGCAGTCTGATACTCAACTGAATTTAGTCTTCAAGCTGAAAAAGGACTCTTCTCTCTTCTGAGTTAACAGGTGGCACTGAATGCATAAAGCACAACATTCATCCTGTAACCACAACTTTTTTTTCAGTACATTTCATCAGGTTAAATGTTTCTGGGATTTATTTGAGAAGTCTTAAGCATTTATCAATACTTTGCCAGATGCATTATTTTTGGACTGCAGCTCCTACTGAATAGGCTGAGTTCAGGATACTGGGAATTGTAGTAATTTCTCCAAGCTATAGAGTTAAGAATTTAATTCAGTTTGATTGGGTAGTACAGAATAACACAGTTCCTTGAACATGTCATTTACAAACACTTCCCTTACATTGTCATACATTTTAAGAAACTTTGGGGGATGTTTCACCCCAGAATCAGGGTCAAACTAGACAGTACATTTAACCAGATTTTTGCAGAGATATTCCCTCCAATGGTGAAAGGTACCTTTTTGCCATAGGACATGTTTTTCATTTCCTCCATATCTTGCATTCAGCATGCTTCATTTTGTAACTGGTCATTGAAAGTTTGATTGTCTGAGTCCTGAGGATGGATCTCTGAGGACCAATCATTGTGGGAGGAAAAATAATGTGGATACCCCTACATTTATAACTTTACTCTGTCTTGTGTCTTGCCTTCTAAGCTGCCAATATAAAGCAGACATGTTGTTAACATTGCAAACTTGTGGTACAAGCCAAAAGGCAAATCAATAGCTACACTAAAACAAACTGCAATTAGAGTAGGTCCATTTGAATCTATGGAACTTACAGAGGAGGCAACTGATCCATTGAGTCTATTATAGTGTGATTTGCTACTCTAAACAACAGGATTTCAGCTATTTTCATCTTCTCCAGCATTACTATTCAGATACTGCTTAAGGATACCTATATCACCCAATGGTCGAGAGAGATGGAGAAGAAGCTATTTAAGTTAGGTTTCTCAGTAGAAGATTTAGGTAGTCATGATTACCTGAAGGTTAAATCCTTGTCCAGAGACTTGGACCTACAGCACTTATGAACTGCAGCTAATAAACACTTCTTTCCACTGATCTATAATAAAATTAAATACTATGGGTTCTTCATTGCTCTATATGCATTGTTCATTCCAAAATATAGGAGAGCATTCATGTTACCTCGCTTTAATGTATTGCCATCAGCTCTACTAGATAGGTGATTAAGGAAATTCCATTTAATGATCAAACTTGTCCTTGTGGAAATGGGGATATCGAATCAGTTGAACATATTATTTTTCACTGCAGAATGTATGATGATTGTAAAAACAAGTTAATCTCTCCAATAATAGGTGTCTCTCTGCCCGGTAGCCCCACAGCTTTGTTACTGTCTCACTTAGAGGTTGCGTCCACTTATCTTACTGACAGAGTGTCTAAATTTTTGTTGATTGCTATGAGAATGAGAGAGAAATGTTGCAATCACCCTGAAATAAGGTTTTATATACTACCTATAGGAGTTTTTCTCTATATGTTCTGTATGTATTTTATAATCATGCTGGTCTGTGATCATAATAAAGAATGGTGGTGGTGGTGAGTTATAAACCTTAGCAGGGAAATCCTCCTGGCAAATAGAAGGGGAAGATATGGAGACAGTGACATATTTTACTTTCTTGGGCTCCATGATCACTGCAGATGGTGACAGCAGCCACGAAATTAAAAGTCGTCTGCTTGTTGGGAGGAAAGAGATGACAAACCTAGAGAGCATCTTAAAAAGCAGAGACACCTTGCCGACAAAGGTCTGCAAAGTCAAAGCTATGGTTTTTCCAGTAGCAATGTATGGAAGTGAGAGCTGGACCATAAAGAGGGCTGACCACTGAAGAATTAATGCTTTTGAATTGTGGTGCTGGAGGAGACTCTTGAGAGTCCCCTGGACTGCAAGGAGAACAAACCTATCCATTTTGAAGGAAATCAACCCTGAGTGCTCACTGGAAGGACAGATCCTGAAGCTGAGGCTCCAATACGTTGGCCATCTCAGGAGAAGAGAAGACTCCCTGGAAAAGACCCTGATGCTGGGAAAGTGTGAAGGCAAGAGGAGAAGGGATGACAGAACACCAGGTGTGCTCTAGTCCATGGGGTCACGAAGAGTTAGACATGATTTAATGACTAAACAACAACAAGCAGGAAACTCAGATGGACTTTGGATCCTCATACATCACCAGGAAATAATACCTTTATACTTTTGTAATGAAAGGGTGGGGCACGGAGACCTGGTCCACTCTTAGAGCAGCACTGAAATGAGACTAATCTTGCCAATGACAAACTGATGTGACTTCCAGTCACCAACTGAAGTCAAGAAGAGTGCATAACAACCCAACAAAGTACAGTACTAAGCAATCCTGAATAACAAACACAGCCGGATCTGGAGGAGCAGGAGGTTAGCAGGAGCTTCCACACCTCTCACCAAGAGCAGTTGTATTTTTTCATCTTTTTCATCGTAGTAGAACATCATCTGAAGCATAAGCCGTAAGTCCCAAGAAATCCACTTTGTGATCGTATAATAAAAGCTTTGAAGTGGCTGCTATTTTTGAGGGAAGTGTGGAAGGGTAAGGGTGGGTGTTGAGCCCAATTCCTTATTGCGAGGCAAAATATTTGTGGTTGCATGAGGTAAATATCACATCAATTGTTTCTGTTTTGCACTGGCTTCCTAGTCATTTGAGTCCTTTGAAGGAGAAAGCCAGGGTAAAAATATTTTAAATTAATTAATTAATTTGGAGGCACAATGCAGAGTGGTGGTTCCCTTACATTCTCTTTTTGATCATCTGCCCACAACGCCAATATTCACTTGTACGAAGTCTTCCTCTTCCTGTAAATATTTGAGGCTATTTCCTGCTCTTGCCTTCACAAACATGTCTAAGACATCAACTCCATTAATTCATTCAAATCTCTCCCCAAATTGCACCTTTTCTGTGAAGGCTTTGGAGCATCCTTCTTGCCATTAGTGCTAGACTACATCTTATGTTAAAGAAACCTGACTCTTTTTAAGATCTAGACTTTTTGTCCACTAAAATAAGCAAATGGGACAGGTGAATTTGGTTGGGTTGTCCCACTCAGAAGTCACCATTCTGGATTATGTTTTGCCATTTTCTACCCAGAATGGATACTGGGATATGGTGGCCCCCAGGGGCAGTTTGAAGCTGGTTGCATGTGTCATCTCTAGTGCAATAGGATGGGTGGATTTTATGAGTTGTCCTATGCAGAAGTTAAAGTTTGGGGGTTGTTTTTCAGATCATTGATTTTTTCTGCTTAAAATGGGTATTGGAATGTTGCACCCCGCGGCATTTAGTGGCTGGGTAGATTTGTCGCCTCTAGTGAAATGGGACACGTGAATTTTGTTGTGCAGTCCTACGTAGAAGTCATTGTCCCCGGCTGTTTTTCACAATATCTATTTTCTGCCCAGAATGGGTACTCGAATGTTCTTCCCAGCTGCCTTTTGAGGCTGGTTGCATCTATCCTATCTAGTAAGAAGGGGCAGGTGAATTTCATCGGGATGTCCTACATAGAATTCACTATTTCAGGCAGGGGTGGGTTTTATTGTTTTTGTATTTTTGTTTTTTTCAATATTAATTTTCGGCCTGGAACAGGAAAATGTTGGTTCTTGGAGGTGTTTTGGGCTGGTTTCATCTGTGCCCTCAAATCAGATAGAACAGGTTAATTTTGTTAGGCTATCCTACTTGGGAGTACTTGGGGGTTTCGTTGTTGTTTTGTTGTTTTGTCTCTTTTTTTCATGCCTTGAATGGATACTGAAATGCTGTTTCTGGGAATGATCTGTGGCTTCCTGTATCTGTCTCATCGAGTCCCATTGGCATCATGAATGCAGTTGGGTTATTTAAGTCAGACGTTGCTGCTCTGGTCCATTGTGTTCTGTTCTGGCAGGTTTGGGGGCACTAAAGTGTTAATGAAAGTAATTTTTTTGGCTTCAACTAAACATAGGCAAGAATTTAGTTCCAACAATCAACCACTATGCAAAGATAATTAGGTGGAAAATGTTTGTCTCTGAAATGTGAGCTAATGGCGATGAAATATCAGAAATGTAACTAGCCATTTTGGCACCTAGGGCTAGGTGCACCATCTCCTACACCCCCTCTGATGATATATAGGGACAAACGCCTCCATAGAAAAGGAGAAAGAGAATATGGTGTGTGTCCCCATACAAAATTCATGAATTCCAGTGGAAAAAAGTAAATAAAACTGGAGAGTATCGCCATTTATTTTCTGTTCACCAGGAACTCATATTTAGATTGCATTTCCTTATGAATTTTGGTTCCTGGGGCAAAGTCCTACTCATTCCACCCTAGTTATGGCCCTGTAAAAAAAGACATTATTCCAGTTTCTTTGGGCTTTTGATTGGCTGCAAATGAGTGGTGACATTCACTCCATTGCACTTTATTATCCATCACTGTACATTGCCAATGACCAGAGGAAATTGAAACCACCTGAAGTTCAATCTAAACAGGACAGAGGTCTTGTTGGTAATCAAAAAGCCTGAATTGTGGTTCTGAATTTAACCTCTTCTTGAAAAAGGTATGGTCTCCCTGATGAATAAGATCTGTGGAGCATTGGTGTGCTATTTAATCCTACTTTGTTCCTAGATCATCAGACAATGCTGATGGCAAGGAATTCACTCTTATTATATCAAGTGCAACCATTCTTTACTCTGTCTTATTTGATTACAGTTGTCATGATTTAAATTGTTGCGTGGATCATGCTTAGACTGTTACAATGTGCTTTACGCAGGGCTACCCTTGAAGAGTATCTGGAAGGCTGGTGACCAGTATTGAAAAAAATACTACACCAGTAGAAAAAGTCCTATGCACCAGTTGACAATCACTTTCTAGGATCAGTTCAAGGTGCTGGCTTTAACATTTACAGCACCAAATCACTCATCCACCTGTCTAAGATACCACCTGTTTTGTTATAAATCTGTCTCATTATTAAGATTTGCCGGACAACCCTTCCTGAGGATAGTACTGCTAACAGAGGGCAACCTGTCTCAGAAGGTGAAGGACAGCTATCAATTTAGGCACTCCTCCCATTCCAGAAATTCAGGAACATGAGATTTCAGGATTCCAACGCCAGATTCAAAGGGGGGAAATAAGAATGGAATTGAACAGAAATCTTGTAACACAACTGCTAAAGGATATTAAGAATGAAGACAAACTCTTGCTTTCTAGAACTGACTGCAATTAAGCCATCCAGAGGATATTTCAGAACAAGGCTGTAGAAGACGCGATGACCAACATACCACTTCTGTTCTCTTTGCTGGCAATATGGCTGCTACAACAGACCACAGCACAAGGTGTGTTATTGTTGGGGCTGGAGGTTCAAGGGTGTAAAGTTTAATTTCTAAAAGAGAAATTAGTTCCCATGATTTAATTTCTGTAACATAAAGTATGAAACTCCTTAAAGTCATATCTTCTCCCTTGTCCCCATGGAAAGCTCTCAGTAGCTAATGGTTGGTAGCTATTAGTCAAACTCCCTATCTGAATGATTTTTAACAGTGTAGAAAAAACCTCACATTTTCTGCTGGCTCAGATCTAGTCTAGACCACACCTACCTTTTCCAACAAAGTTGGAAGTGAAGAGAAGGTTACTTCCTGCTCTGTTAATAGGCAGGCTGATAATGAAACATGATACAGGATATTTTTTTTTACCCAGGTTAAAAACAGGTTAACCCAGGTGTTCTTGGACTGCAAATCCCAGAAGCCTTCACCACTAGCTGTGCTGGCCAGGGTTTCTGGGAGTTGCAGTCTATGAACACCTGGATTAGCCAAAGTTGGGAACTATTGTTTTAGAGCACTGGTTCTTAACCTTGGGTTACTCAAGAGTTTTGGACTGCAACTCCCAGAAGCCTTCACCACCAGCTGTGCTGACTGGGGTTTCTGGGAGTTGCAGTTCAAAAGCATCTGAGTAACAAAGGTTAAGAACCACTGTTTTAGAGGATAATCATACTAACTGGAGGCTTATGGCAGTGTGATTCTCCTTTTTTGCAAAGCAATACAAAAGAGAGCAAGTGAACCAGTCTTTAGGTATTACATGCATCTCATGGAATGTATTATTCTGAAGCCTAGTACAGAAGCAAATAAACCCCATTTATTCTAATCTAAAAGAAGAACACCTTTGCTCTACAAAGATCTGTCAAAACAATGCTGGATCTATACAGCAAAGGAAACTAATTAAGAATGACTGGAATCCTGTCGTGCAGTTCCACAAATAGCATTAACTTTTAGACAGAAATTGCCATTAAGTTAAGAAGTCTCCGTAAATATTATCTGTTGCACACCAGGTCAAATGACTAAGCATGCAACAGATCATGCCGCCAGAGATTTCTTATTGCAGCAATTTGCAGCTAAAAATTGTGTCATCTCCTAAACTCATCTGCATGTTCTAGATTGTACCTAGACCTTTGGCCAGCAAATGCTTAAGGCTACCCTTACCCTTCACCATGTTGGACATGACCAGTAGGAGCTGTAGGCTATAACACTGGTTCTTAACCTTGGGTTACTCAGGAGTTTTGGACTGCAACTCCCAGAAGCCTTCACCACCTGCTGTGCTGACTGGGGTTTCTGGGAGTTGCAGTTCAAAAACACCTCAGTAACAAAGGTTAAGAACCACTGGGCTATAACATCTTGAGGGCAAATGTCTTCTGCCATTGCTCTAGTCTCTAGGCCAGTGCTATTTTTAGTAAAAATGAGTTGGACCTATCAGGCAATTGATTTGGGATGTAATGGGAAGGAAGCAAATTGTTATTTATTGTTACTATCAGTTTTTTAATGTTAGGAAGATATGTGTGGGATTTTCAGGCTCAGGTGCCAAAAATAAGCAGACTAGCCTCAAAAGATATACTTCTTGAGGAGATTGTCTGCTGCTCTGTCTCAGGCAGGAAAAAGGCTGGGGCCACCCCTTAAAGACCAATAAATCCAAAGACAACTAACACAGCATCTCTGTCCATTGGGCTGCTAGCACTGTACCTCCCACTCAGCATGTTCCTGGGTAACTCCCCAACATTCAAATCAGGTTCCAGTGGATAAAGCACTAAGAGCCAAGGGTCACTACACCTTTGTCAGATGTGTTGACATTTCAACAAATTGTGAACAAATCGGTCCCATTCAGATGATCACGTCTAACAAGCCATGTGCTCAGATATGTCATCCCTTCAATAAGATCCACAATTAAACTAAGAAGTCACCCAACACAGTGGTTCTTAACCTTGGGTTATTCAGAGTGTTTTTGGACTGCAACTCCTAGAAGCCTTCACCACCAGCTGTGCTCGCTGGGGTTTCTGGGAGTTGCAGTTCAAAAACACCTGAGTAACCCAAGGTTAAGAACCACTGACCTAACAGACTATATATTTCCATTTCCTCCAAACCAGGGAACTAGAGTTACTACCTTCAGAGCAAGCCAGGATATTTAACCAACTTCTAACTGTGGTTTTAATATCATGGCCTGGTCTAAAGCTGGTAACTATCATTCCCTACTTAAAGTGATTTTTTTAAAAATGATTATTCTTTGTAGTCTTCTGTTTTTTATTTTCTGTCAAACAAAGGAGGACCTTGTGTAAGCAGGACTTCTGCATATTTCAATTAATAAACGAAGAAATGCTCAAACTTAGTATTTCTAACTGCACACTTCTACAAAGAATCTTATTTTGTATACCTCTCCTCTTGAACCTCTTACCTGAAACATCTCTCTTATTTTTATTTCCTTAAGATTCCAGTGATACCAAAGCAGGTAAGTGGTCTGCAATTCTGGAAATTTTTCTATATGGTAGCATTACTGGGAGAGGCAGAAGAAAACAGAGTTTCCCGCAAGTCAGGGATCCTTCAATCCAAGCCCTATCCTAAAACAGGATACTCCATAATATGCTTCATGACTAGCTTAGGCTGAACGCCAGATTGTGGGTCACATCAGGACTTTTGTGTTGACCCAGGGGTATTCCAATTCAAAGTGAACAGTCCTCCTGACCCAGTCCGGAACTGTACAATAAATAAATAAATAAATAAATAAATAAATAAATAAATAAATAAATAAATAAATAAATAAATAAATAAATAATCGGCATTCTAAGGGTTACATTTTTACTAAACTTTTTTTTAAAAATGGATGAAATCCTATAGCTTAGCATAGTAAATTGCACTAGAGTAGACCCATTGAATTGGTAGGGAATCGGTGAGTCAACTCCTCCCTCAGTTCTGTCAATTCAGACAGGCCTACCCTAGTTGTGATTTTCCATGCTAAACAACAGAATTTCAGCCACTGAAAATCAGGGAAACGGAAACTGAACAGTAGTACGGCATATAAGGCTGTGGTGATGTAAGATTATGAAAAAAGCAAAGGAGGGGTTCACTTCATTGCCTGAGAGCTCCACTCCCCAATATAGGCAAAGGACCTCTCTTCCATTCTCCAGTCATTGAGAAAGTGCAGAGTACATTCCTGCTTACCTTTGCTTAGGTGCCAGCTAGGTTAGAATCGGTGCTGCATGACTTTGTTTTGTTTCCCTTTGATTAACAATGGACTGTCCGTGCATGACTGTAGTGGCTGCTTGCTTTCTTGTTTCAGGGCTGAGTGATTAGGTTTCAGTGCGTTTTAGTATAGTTGGGTCCATCTACCCCCTTTTTTCCTCTCTGCAATCCTTGGGGTTTCTTTCTCTGTGTGTTTGTTTGCCATTTGCCTAGCTTGGGGTGGGCTCTTCTGTCGGGCCTTAGACCAAGCAAACCTGCTGCTACTGCTGTGTAAATTGAACCATGTTCCTTCCATCTCTGAGGTGATTGCCAATACGAAGAATTCCCCATTGTGCGTGCTCAAGAGGGTTTATAAAAGATGATGTCTACCTATCATTCACCCATATTTTCCTTTTGCTTTTTAAAGATCTCCTTCCCCCCCCCATCCACCCCATAAAATTAGTAAAGACGGAGAAATGGAATTGCTCTGCCAAATCTTTTGATGAGTAGCAATGAAAACCCTCAGACAAAAAGCACCCGGAGTCCTGATGAACAAAGGGGTGTTTAATTAAATGTAAATAGGTATAATACTGAGTAGAGCTCAGAAAAAATTACTTTTCTAGACTATGATGCCTTGATGGTTAAAGAATCCTGGGAATTATAGTTCCCAGAAAATCAAAATATTGATTCAGCCCTTGTACTGGGCCACCCGTTGTAGTGGGAAATAAGATAATGAATATTAATTATTCCATTAATAGATTAAATGCTTTCTAAATCCAGGAGGACCGACCACAGGAAATGCTGCCCTAAATTCGGCGAGTAATCCAAACTGAGAAAGTTTTTTCCCCGATATGCTCCATTCTCCATGTTTTCAGAGATTTATTTTGTGATGCCTGGAAATTATTAGTATATTTATTTGTTTAAAATATTTTTAAGCCACCTTTCTCCTTAAAAAGGACTCGAGGTGGCTTACACCATCATTGAAAGAACCACAGGAAATGCTGCCCTAAATTCGGCGAGTAATCCAAACTGAGAAAGTTTTTTCCCCGATATGCTCCATTCTCCATGTTTTCAGAGATTTATTTTGTGATGCCTGGAAATTATTAGTATATTTATTTGTTTAAAATATTTTTAAGCCACCTTTCTCCTTAAAAAGGACTCAAGGTGGCTTACACCATCATTGAAAGGCAATCTTAAAAGCTGAAAACAATGAGTATAAACCTTCTTGTTCCTTCTCCTTCCTGCAGTCTGCGGACGGCCAGTCAACTCTGCACGGATTGTAGGAGGCCAGTCAGCTCTGCCTAGATCATGGCCCTGGCAGGTCAGCATTTTACAGTTGAGGAGTGTTATTTGTGGAGGCTCCCTCATAGACTCAGAATGGGTGTTGTCTGCTGCTCACTGCTTCTATGGGTAAGTATCTGCTACGTGTGGCTGTGAAGCCATTATAAACCTTTGCCCCAGAGGTAGCAGCCAAGGCCAGGTTCATAGTCCATGATCTGAATTCAGCAGTGGCATTACACTTGCATAACTCCCATCCGCTCAAGTGCTTGTGCATTTTCTGAGCTTGAGGTAAGAGCCATCCAAATCCTTTTTTGCCCAAGTGTTTCTCACCTGCCGGTTGTGGCATTGGTGTGTATGTACATGATCACAAGACACATCTCCGTTGTATGAGATAAAAATTGTGGGTAGAGAATTCTCTTCCCCAGTTCTTCAGATCTGCACAATATTGAGCTGAACCTCTGGCAACTTCAAAAACTAAAATGTTTGGGAAGTGCCATAGCGCTAAGCTGCATGAAGGGGTATCAAAAAACTAAACCTTGGCTTTGGATAGGGACAAAAAGGGTGTGTGAACTAGTGGGGGGAAATGGTTCAAAATGAAATAAAAGAAATGTTGTCTGGATGTCAGGAAAATTTCCTGTAAGATTGATGTACAACCTGCAACTTAAAGTAGGAAAAAATACTGCATTTGGAAGACCCCTCAGTTTCACAACCCTGCTAGAAAACTCTCAGGCTTATTTTTCCTCTACTTGCTAATCAGCTCTGACTTTGTAAATGAATGACAAGCATTAGAGTAGGGAGACCAGCTTTGGAGGGGTTTTGGAAGGGCAGCTATTTGCCCCCACTACCCCATTTCCTTCATGTTGAACACAAGCCCTTCCAGAAAACCAAGAAAAGACTGGAAGATGACTCTTGTCTAAAAATAAAAAAATAAAAAAAAATACTTTTGGGGTAAAATAATGCAGCCACTACCATATTTTAGGGGAGATTGTGCAAACTTGGAGGCTCCTGGAGGCAAACATTTTCAAGAGGGAGATTGCAAAAAGAAAACCTGATGATGGTATTCAGATGCTGGTATCGTTCGGCCCTTAAGAGAGCAGGGACTAAGGTTTAATACATCTCAGAAGAACCTAGAAGCTTCTCTTTGCAATTTCCTGTTACATCTTTCTCTTGTGTTCACAGGGACACAAACGCTTACAAATATACATTGGTGTTCGGTGCGTATCAGCTCTCTAACATATCTGGCAGTGAAGTATTTGCCAACGTACGAAAGATTGTCATTCACTCTGGCTACAATGGCGTCCCTGACTCCAGTGGGGACATCGCTTTGCTTCAACTTCAGTCTCCTGTGAATTTCACCAGTGACATCCTCCCTATTTGCCTGCCAGAACCTTCTGAAGAATTCTTTGGAAACAAAAATTGCTGGGTTACTGGATGGGGACGTGTGGGAGAAGATGGTGAGAAATGTTCTCGGTGGCGCTTATTCAAATGTGCCAAACTGTATGTCATCCATGTCCCTGTACTCTCACAGTGGTCCTCAACCTTGGGCCTCCAGATGCTCTTGGACTTCAACTCCCAGAAATCCTGGCCAACAGAGGTGATGGTGAAGGCTTCTGGGAGTTGCAGTCCAATAACATCTGGAGGCCCAAGGTTGGGGACCACTAGGAAAAACTTGATGGCCTTTCCCCAAACGGTCTCAAAACCTTAAAAGTTCCCATAGTCAGAGAATGAAAACTCTGATTGCATGGGGTGGAGAACGCAGTGGAAGTTTTAGGTTGAACAATTCAGGAGCTTCCCAGGATACCAACGTATATATTCTCCAAATAAATTCAACAGCTTTGAGAGCTATTTGAACATTCCAACTGAAACCTGGAATGGATCCACTGCCCCCGAGGACTTGGAGTCATTGAGGGAGGCAGACAAAAACACACAGACAGAAAAGTCAGCATCACATAGCGGCTGGATCTGATCAGTTACACACTTTCAATGAGGGCAGGAGGGTGTATTGGAACTACCCCAAGGATATGTAACAGAAATAGTTTTCTCTTGCAATGTTCTTTTTTTTTCCCTTTTCCTTTTCTTTCTTTCTTTTTTTACATAAAGGAACTTACCTGTCTGGTCCAGTGTTCTGGTCAAACAGCATCCCACAAGTTTCCTCTGGGAAGATCACAAGGAGGATTTGAGGACAATCACACTCTGTTCACATTCTCTAGCAAGTAACAGTGATATAGCCCATGACTGTTGTGTTCAGCTGATTGCAGCATTCATTTAAATTTGCCCCAATCAGCCAGCATCATTCTTCTTCGCTTTCTGCTGCGTGTAACAGCCTGCTCCAAAGGGGGCACTCACAGGAGTGTCGGTTCCCCTCAACCAAGCACCTATTGTCTCCAAACCTTTTCTTTCTTTCTTTCTTTCTTTCTTTCTTTCTTTCTTTCTTTCTTTCTTTCTTTCTTTCTTTCTTTCTTTCTTTCTTTCTTTCTTTCTTTCTTAAAAATGGTTTTCAGGTCAGTGCTGCAGCAGATTATCGCTAGGTCACTTAAAAATAATAATTTTAAAAAGAAACAAAAAGTTGCCAATTAGTACCTTGTCTGATCAAAGGCAGCTTCTGCTGTTGGAGCGTCATGCAAAAAAAGCTTTCTCTGCCTCTGTCCCTCCTGACACCTGCAACACAATACCTGCTCTGGATGGCTATGGCAGTTTCCCCTGTGAAAACCAGCAAGGATCCAATTTGAAAAATTGTAGATCACAGTAGACTAAAGTATATTTTGCCACTGTGTAGTCACATCCTTGGTCTCTCTATATTTGTTTTTCTCTCTTTCTAAAATAGCAGCAGGTCCTCCAGATGTTTTTGAATTCCAGTTCCCAGAATCCCTCACCATTGGCTGTACTAGCTAGGGCACTGTACTAGCCAATCAGGAGGGCCACAGGAGAGCCACCTGTACTCTTTTAGGGAAAAGCCCTATTCAGGTGTTATGCCTGACACCAGGTAGCACAGACTGGAGGTAGGCAAATGTTGTCCCTATCTTCAAAGGGGGGGGGGAGACCCAAATAATTATTGCCCAGTCAGCCTGACATCAATTCCTGGAAAAAGTCTACAGCAGATCATTAAACAGACAGGTTGTTATTACTTAGAAAGCTGTCATCGTGGGTTTCTCAAAAACAAGTCATGCCAGACTAATCTGATCTCTCTTTTTTTGATAGAGTTACAGGCTTTATAGATGAAGGGATCACTGTGGATGTAGCATATCTTGATTTCAGTAAGGCCTTTGACAAAGTTCCCCATAATATTCTTGCAAGGAAGCTAGTAAAATGTGGGCTAGACAGTGCTACTGTTTGGTGGATTTGTAATTGGTTGACTGACCCAACCCAAAGGGTGCTCACCAGTAGCTTTTCTTTATCCTGGAGAGAGTTAACTAGTGGGGTGCCTCAGGGTTCTGTTCTGGGCCCTATGCTATTCAACATCTTTGTCAATGACTTGGATGAAGGAATAGAGAGTGTGCTGATTAAATTTGCAGATGATACCAAATTGGGAGAGGATGCTAATTCCCCAGAGGACAGGATTAAAATTCAAAATGACCTTGACAGATTAGAGTCCTGAACCAAAACTAACAAAATGAATTTCAACAAGGAGAAATGTAAGGTCCTACAGCTAGGCAGAAAAAACTGCACAGATATAGGATGGAAGACACCTGGCTAGACAACAGTACCTGTGAAAGGTATTTAGGAGTCTTAGTAGACCACAAAGTGAACATGAGTCAGCAGTGTGATGCGGCAGCCAAGAAAGCCAATGCAATTCTTGGTTGCATCAATAGGAGTGTCTAGATCAAGGGAAGTGATAGTGCCACTCTATTCTGCTTTGGTCAGACCCCACCTGGAGGATTGTGTCCAGTTCTGAGCACCTCAGTTCAGGAAGGATGTTTACAACCTGTAACATGTCCAGAGGAGGGTGACCAAAATGGTCAAAGGTCTGGAAGGTGTCCTATGAGGAGCAGTTTAGGGAGCTGGGAATGTTTAGCCCTGCAAAAAGAAGGTTAAGAGGGGACATGATAGCCATGTTTAAATATTTGAAGGGATGTCATGTTGAGGAAGGGACAGGTTGGTTTTCCACAGCTCCAGACACCAGGACAAGGAGCAATGGCTTCAAACGACAGGAAAAGAGATTCCACCTGAATCTCAGGAAGAACTTCTTGACAGTCAGAGCTGGTCAGCAGTGGAATGTGCTGCCTCAGAGTGTGGTGGAGTCTCCTCCTTTGGAGGTTTTTAAGCAGAGGCTGGATGGCTATCTATCGGGAGTGCTTTGATGGAGTTCCTGCATGGCAGGGGGTTGGACTCGATGGCCCCTGTGGTCTCTTCCAACTTTGTGATTCTATGATTCTATGTGAAAATGTTGGTTAGTGTACCTCTGCCACAGCTGAATATACCTGTAGCATTTCCATGATGGGTAGCTCTGCCCTGACAACCAAAAGCTTACAAATGTTGCTGCTGACTATGAGCATACAAAGAATGCATGACTTCTGCATGTAGAGCTGCAAGAGATTCCAAGGATCATCTGTTGATGCAAGCAGGCTTCCCAGAGGATATTCCTCATTTTGAAGATATCCTCCATTGGAAGGGCTGCCCCACCCCTGGCTGATGGAAATGAAAAGAAACATAGGGAAATCAGGGATGTAGCTTGAAGTGAGTTGACCAATCACTGTAGCACCTGGACAGGAAAGTCAACAGGCATAGCCATCACCTGATCAGCGCGTTTGCCACCTGAATAAGATGCTCTGTAATTCTGTTTAAATTATTTTAAAATAATTTTACATCTGTACGTATCAATTAGCATATGCAGTTCTATGCAAATCAGTACCCAGTTTTGTCTCCCTCTTAGTGTTATGTGTCACATTCTTTGGTGAGATGTAATTAGTCCTCCTGGCAAAGTTGCTCCCCTCTGTTCCAAAAGCCATACTTTGAGAGAACACGCCCTTCCTTTAGGACCATCACACACTGAAGTAAATCCTTGAATGCATGGGAGGGAAGTTGCATGTTCACAACTGTAGTAATTAATGCCCACTCTGTATGCAACGGAGATATCCCAGTTCCGTATTCCAAAACCTCATTCCATTTTTTTTCTCCTCCAGCGCCCTTGGAATACCCACGGACTCTCCAGGAGCTGAATATACCACTCATATACCGAGATATGTGCAACCTTTATTTCAACAGTGTCCCAGTTGCAGGCCTGAGTAAGAATCCTGTCAAGCGTGATATGTTCTGTGCTGGTCGGATGACAGGTGGAATAGATTCCTGTCAGGTAAATTGTTTTCCATACTGTCTTTCATTTAGCCGTTGTATAATTCTGAGCAATAACTCCCAGAACCTGTCCCAGCTGCAGAGCTTTGAATATGTTTTTCAAAAGATTTTGTTGCTGTTATTTTCGCACCAGCCTGTTGGTCATAGTCGTCATAAAAGCAGTTTGTTATTGTGTTATTGATGCAAAGTTCTGTTGTAGTTGGCAGTACTAAAAAAAAAAGACGGCGAAATACTCTTTGGCTCTCTCTAATGGCCAATTTTGGTATTACTCTTGAAAATATTTCACAAAACTCCAAAGAAAATATAAAACCATACTGCTCTATCCAGTTGGAGTTAATAAGAGAATAGCATAAAACTTTGGGGAGGGGGGGAATACATTGGGGCCCCTTTGGAAATGCTTTTAAATTCCCTTCTAAACGAACTTTTGAAAGTAACTAGAAAGTGTTAGTCATTACAAGGTAAAGGATGGGGAAGTAATAAGATAATTTTTCCTACTTTGTATTGTTCATCCCCACCGCCACAGCCAAAATTAAACTATAGTTTCTAAGCAGGCAATCTTGGAGAGGGTGCAATCAAAGAATATTTGGCAATTTTTGAGTCCTAAGAGGGGGGCAAAAAATCCCAAGCCATGCTACAAAGATGTTTCAGACTGCAGCCTCAAGAGAACTGACATCAACTCTCACAGCAGTGTACCAGTTTTTGGACTCTAGTGCAGCAGCCCCCAACCTTTTTCGGTCCGTGGACCGGTTGGGGGTGGGGGCACCCCCGCACTCATGGGTGGTCGTGTCTCGCTCACAGATGGGCATGTCACACTTGCAGAAGGGTATATCACACTCATGGGTGGGCGCGTTGCACTTGCGGAGGGACATGTCACACTTGCACACATGCCTACCCACGAGTATAACGCGTTCGTCTGCAAGTGTGACACGCCCCCTGTGCGTGCAGGCCGGGGGGGCAGTGAAAAAGTAACCTCCAAAATAGCTTGTCATCATCGGTCCTGCTCTCAGCAGACCCATGTTTTCTTCCAGATGACAGGCGCCGATCATTTGATTGACTGATTGATATTGATTGATTGATTGATGGATGGATGGATGGATTGATGGATTAATTGATTAATTGATTAATTGACTGATTGATTTTTATCCCACCCTTCTAGACAATGTCTACTCAGGGTAGCTTCCATTAAAATTATTCATAAAAGTGGTTAAAACAACAATTAAATTGACAATAAAATATTAATCAAGATGTGGAAAATATAAACAAAAAACTAAGCAAGAAATAAAAGTCAAGTGTTGACAGGAGGGAAGGCCTGCTTAAAGAGCCAACAAGGCACTCTGCATGTGCTCAAAGCCGCGCACGGTGCCCCCGAGCGAGAAAATGGGTTCACCTGGGGTGCCAGCTGAGGCCACCACGCCAGTTCTTTCCAACCCGACCTGCCCGGTGGTGAACAGCAGCAGATGCTGTTCCCACCTCATGGCCCCCAGCAGATGCAGGGCCGGTGACACCCCTCGAAGGTGCCCCGCCCTTCTGAAGGGGTGACTGTGGCGCTACCAGATCCAGAATTGCTCCACTTCCTTCATGCCAGCTGCCCAAACGTATCCCCTGGTCAAGGCGGGGCTGCTCCTGGTCCAGCAACCACAAGGACTACATCTCAGGGCCAAAGTAGGCATTTCCCCTCCCTGCCTGGGCGGCTGCGCGCTGTCCGTCGGCAAGGGAAGCAGTGCTCCGGCACTGTGGGATGCTTCGCCTGCTGGAAAAGGAGGAGGTGAGGGCTGCTGGTAGGCAGCTCTCTCTCCTATTCTGTACTCCTTATCTGATGTCAGAGTAGATCTATTCGGGTACTAGAAAGTATGCAGAATACTCATGTGGGGTGGAGTACTCCAGCTCTGCCTGCTCCCTTTATCCTTGGATTCATCATCCTCCTACACTTGGATAGTGATGAATCTGAAGTAGGAGAGCTTGGCTCTTTGTCAGTCAGGACCCTGATTTTCCAGGGTCCTGGCTCATATGTAGAACCCAAATCCTGATACCAGAAGCTGCCCCTCCTCAGGCTTATCAACCTGCATATGTAGGAGGTGGTGACGCTGAATATGGAGGGGAAGGGTGAGAGAGTTCCCCTCTACACATGGGTATTCTAGGTCTGAGTATGGAGTATTCCCACACACTTTCTAATGCCTGAACAGGACTAGTGTTTGCTACAGCGGCTTGATTTCAACCTTCATCTCTCTCCACAGGGTGACTCTGGAGGACCTCTGGTGTGTAAAGTTGACGGACATTGGATCCAGGCTGGGATTGTGAGCTGGGGAGTAGGATGTGCCAGACCTTACTTCCCTGGTGTCTACACTTCTGTGCCTTACTATGCCAAATGGATAGAATCTGTTAAGGCTGGCGGGTTGCAAAATGCCCCCACTGTGGCAGTCATCTTGACATCTCTTTTATTGTTCCTCCAGTGAGAGACTTTGTTTAAATATGTCCCAGTAATAAACTTAACCCTTGGGTGATGCACAACTGTGAATTTGATTTCTTCAGTTCATCCATTTTTATGTGTGATTCTTCTGATATGAGAAAATTGCTTTGCCCTTAACATGTGGGCTAAAATCCTATTAGTTACACCTGCCAGTGTAATGCAACTGGTGTAAATCTCTGCAGAGCATTGTCACTGGTTAAGAAGCTGGTTTTGGCACCACATCCCATAACTGGAGTGCAATGACAAAATACTATGGCAGCTTCATCATTTGCAGCAATCTGCCTTTGAGGCATATGCTAGTTGCATTACTCTGGCATAGAAACTCAATAGAAATTTGATTACTGTGTATATAAATAAATGTATTTATTAACTGTATACTCTAGCTCAGGAAATGTACCACAGTCAAAAAGGACATTGGTATGTTTAATGAGCAAATTCAGTGAAGGTCTTAGAGGCAAGAAGCAAGAAGATTTCCATAAAAAAATAGGTGTCTTGCCCAAAAGATAAGAAAAAACCACAAACTTTAGCATGTACACACTAAAAAAAATTCCTGCAAGTAGATAGTAAGAACACACATACATTATAAACAGTAAGACAAAGAAAAATCATTTGAATATATAAGAAGCAGGAAACCAACCAGTCATGGGGTTGGCTTGAGAACTAGACAACAAAAGATTGAAATGTGTGGTAGAAGAGAAAAAAAGAAACCCACAGAATAGCTAAATTAATTCTTTGTACTTATCATAACTATGGAAAGCAAAGAACAGACTACCACACCTGGAAGCAAGCAAATGATGGGTATCAGTGCCAAGAAATAAAGGTTTAGCTGTTTTTGTAAAATTGTACAAAATCAACAAAGCACCCCATCAAGCTGGTACCCACCAAAGAGATCATAAAGAACTCGAATATGAAGTTATGAAATGTCTGACCAAAATTTGTACCTTGGTAACATGGCTACATTCTCCAAATGTTACAAAACAAATTTAGCAGTCTTGGTGGAAGAGGATGATCCTTTTATGAATCAATGACTGTTTAAATAGAAAGTGGGAAGTATGAACAAATTGACCATTGTTGTAATGGGATGATGTAAGTGGCTTTGAGGATGATCAGATAAATTCAGGAAATAGAAAGTGGGAAGTATGAACAAATTGTCCGTTGTTCTAATGGGATGATGTAACCAGTAAGTGGCTTTGAGGATGATCAGATAAATTCAGGGAGGAAAGGCTAATAGTAATGATGTCCGTTGTTCTAATGGGATGATGTAACCAGTAAGTGGCTTTGAGGATGATCAGATAAATTCAGGGAGGAAAGGGTTATCAATGGCTAATAGTAATGAAAGCAGCATATCCTTACAGCAGTTCCACTGGCTGCCAATTCATTCCGGGCTCAATTCAAACTGCTAGTTTTAACTTATGAAGCCCTAAATGGCTTGGGGCCAAATTATTACAAAGACTATGTCCAGGAGGACCCCATATTTGATGACCTTCAGCAAGCAAACCAAGATCTTTTTCTTAAGTCAAGCTTTCCCTCATCAATGGAGATTCGACTTACAGACTTTTTGACTTGCAGCCACCATTCCAATACAGATTAATTCCTTAAGTAGAGGGTCCACTGTATCCTTACAGCAGTTCCACTGGCTGCCAATTCATTCCGGGCTCAATTCAAAGTGCTAGTTTTAACTTACGAAGCCCTAAATGGCTTGGGGCCAAACTATGTCAAAGACCCCATATTTGATGAACTTCGGCAAGCAAACCAAGACCTTTTTCTTAAGTCAGGCTTTCCCTCGGGTTTAAAATTGGATTTTGTTGTGCCTTGCCTTTTTGAAATCTGTTGCTTTTAGATATGATTTCAGTTCTGTTTTTTAATTAGGGTTTTTCATATATTTGTTTAATTCTTGTTTAATATTGCAATAATTCTTTGTTTTTAGCTCTTAATTTATTGTAGCTTCTTTTTAATGATATAAGCCACAATGGGTCTTTTTTGGAAGGAAGGTGGGGCATAATTATTTTGAATAAATATATAAATATCACTTTCAGGTTTAGATATATGTTGATGCTGAAAGATTTGTGGCACCTTCTCCTGCCTGTGGTCTTCCCATGGACTTTGCCATTGTGAAAAACTGAGCGTTGGGCTATATGGGCCCTTGGTTTAAATCCAGCAGAGATCTTCATGCATTGTTCCATTTCTGTCATCAAGTCCTGCTGAGTGGGAAAATTCTATGTGATTAGCCTTAAGCTAATGGAAAATATCAAGAGGACTTTGAACAATTGAACAAATGAGATAATATTTAAGCAGTACTGAATTAAAAACAACTTTTAAAGCACTGTGTTGTTTTTTTTTTATCATTAGACATAATAATTTCCTGACAAAATTGTCCCAGTGCGTTTCAACTGCTGGCTACGTGATCAGCAAGGATCTAAAATGTGACTGTAATTTGGTACTGAATTAAAAACAACTTTTAAAGCACTTTTTTTATCATTAGCCATAATTTCCTGACAAAATTGTCCCAGTGCTTTTCAACTGCTGGCTAAGTGATCAGCAAGGATCTACAATGTGACTGTTATTTGACTGCAATTAATTAATTAATAATTACAATCCAATGGCTAGTCGTGGCTAAAGATGACCCATTGAATCAACTGTTAAGTCACCATTTACTTAAATCCCTTTGACCTAAAGAGTTTGTCGTAGTTGTGAACAGCAATTGGGTTGAGGCCAAAAAGCTTTAAATAAAGGCATCTTTCTGACATGCCATAAATAATAAATAGTAAATATGCAAGCTTATAGAAATCAGATAATGTACATAGCCATAGTTCAACTTATAGTCTTAGAACTGCAGAACTGGAAAGGACCCTATGGATCATCAAATCCAGACCCTCTCAGGGAGACACAGTGGGGAACTGAACTCCCAAGCAGATATCTAAACCACTGAGCTATCCAGCATACATTCACCGCAGCAGCAGAAGCAACAGGTGGTCAGCTGGTTTTTCTGGCCAGGATAGTAGCCTTCTCAACATTACCTCTCATTCCCCAATAGCTATAAAGGACCATGCAGAAATGTACTAGCAAATATCAGGGTCAAGAACAGGTCAATGAAGCCTCTGTCCCTGGCAAAAAAAAAAGAAGAAGAAGAAACTGTTGTTCTGTGAAATGCAGGGAGCATTCAGTTCTGCCAAAGATGAAGCAGAAAAGGCCAATCAGAACAGGTCAATGAAGCCTCTGTCCCTGGCAGAAAAAAAAAGGAAACTGTTGTTCTGCAGGAGCATTCAGTTCTGCCAAAGTTGAAGCAGAAAAGGCCAATCAGGTAACAAACTACCTATTCTTCTAACCCCTTCAATCTTATTTGGCTCAGAAAGGAAGATTCCATGTATCTCTAAACACCACATTGTTCTTACACTGCAAACCATAATTAGAGTCCCACAGATTTTTTTCCCCTGCCTGGATTTTTGGCCACAATAGTAGTCTAAGATTTTAAGTAATAAAGCTTATTCAATTCAATCTGATTTTGAAAATTAAGCAGGGTGAGATTGAGTAGAATTTGAATGGGAATGGGAAGCTACTAGGGTATTCAAGGATTGTGCTAGGAAAGGCAATGGCAGTCATCCTGCAAAGTAAGGCTGGTAATCCTACCAGAATCCTTGAAAGGTAAAGGTTGCCCTTGACATTTAGTCCAGTCATATTCGACTTTAGGGGGCGGTGCTCATCTCCATTTCCAGGCCATAGAGTCAGCATTTTTGTCCAAAGACAGTTTCCGTGGTCACGTGGCCAGCATGATTAGACACAGAACGCCGTGACCTTCCCACCAAGGTGGTACTTATTTATCTCCTTCATTTATGGGCGTTGAAACTGCTAGGTTGGCAGGAGCTGGGACAAGCGACGGGAGCTCACTCCGCCGTGTGGATTCGATCTCATGACTGCTTGGTCTTCTAACCTTGCAGCACAGAGGCTTCAGCGGTTTAATCCGCAGCGCCACCACATCCCTTCAACCTTGAAAAGCTACTGACTTATCAATCAATCAATATAGGGCTAGACAGATGCACAGTCTTACTTAAGCATCAGCCAGTTTTCTATCCTCCTGTGTTCCTGACAGGCTTATAAAAAACTTTGCCCCCTTCTACTTAAAGATGGGCAAGAAGACTGAGGAAAGCAAGAAAGTTTAAACTACAGTTCTCCAAGGGTTTGGGATGAATACCCATGATGGTGAACTAGCATTAGAAGATTGCCACTAAAGAAGTTACACTGCAATCCAGAGAAGACATATATCTTCTTGGTTGGAAAGACTGGTGATTGTCAATGAAGGTCAGCAGCCTATGTTGGGAGCAGACGTATCATTCCCATAAGGAATCAGGTATGAAATTCAGGGACATTCGGGTTTTCCTATGGAAGCATATATGACCTCAAGAGGTAGGAATGCCATTGACTAGCTTAAGTGTGTTGATCAACCTCAACCAACCGGGAGAATGTGGAAATGGCCTCTGTTGCTCATCTAGATTCGACTAGATAAGAATCCTACTAGATAAGGCCAAAGGCCTCTCTAGGCCAGCCTTCTGTTGATCCACAAGCCAACCAGCTGTTTACAGAAAGTGCACAAGGAAGAGTAGTGTGCAGTAGCGCTCCACTGCTCAGATTCTCCGGCATCTTATACCACCCAGAACGAAGAACACCACAGCTTTGTATTATGTTACCAACAGCGTTGTTATCAATTTATTTCCAAAGAGCTCCAATGTGGAATTTGCCTTTTTCACAGCATTTTACCCCTTGATTAGACCATAAACCCAAGATCTCCTTCCTGGCCATTTATTGCAAGCTTAGGCCCTTATCAGACCATAGAAAAAGTCAGTGTTCTTCCTTTATATGTAAAAAATAAGTAAAAATATAAAAGTTTCATTTTTCTGAATAGTGCTTCAGCCCTTGGGTTACTAAGCTTCATGCTAGGGAGCCCTGAAAATAACCACACCTGCTTCTTCCATGATAAACCAGTTTTCTCCTGTCCAAGCACAGTCTTTGTATAAATATTAAATGTATTTGCTTCGG